AGATATTGGTCGGAGACAAAGATGTCGACACMGTTGTGGGGGACAAAAACGATGGTGGAGACAATGATCGTGGAAAATAACGATGATGGAGACGGCGATCGGAGACAAAAACGACAACGGAGATGGTGGTCGTGGACAAAAATGATGATAGAGACGGTAGTGAACAAAAACGAAAACATTGTGGACGGAAATGTATTCCAAGTGCATGTTGCTGACCAGGGATATAAGTGTCTTTTTCATTCTATGAATAGTGTCATTTGTAGTAGATTTTAAAAGTTTTTTTGGATTGTGGTAGATTTGGAAAGTCAATTTTCAGAAAGGGATAGATTTAAAAAATAATCCCTAAAAAATTTGGCTTTCTGTATTCAAGGTTTACTTACTAGAGTTTTAATCTGGATGGAAAAACGTAGGGATTTAATTAGATCTAAACTCCTAAACCCACCTTAACAAAAAAAAGAAAAAGAGGGTTTAATCGGATACACCCTCATAATTTACATCGAATGATCCCAACACAGAATATTCCTTGTGTTCCCAATTACTACAGATCTCAAAAAAAAAGATCCACATTAATTAGTTAATTAGTGAAAAGTTGAGAACATAGATAAATTGTGGAAATCCTACAAAAGCTCTGTCCGGCTCTAACATTCAAGCATCACGTTGTCCATTTGTAAGGAAAACTCCATTAATACTCTTTTCTCAACATTTTCTGTTTTTTTTCGACCGTTGCTATATGTCTCGTCTCTCTCTGACACAGATTCAGTGTTTCATTTATCATATAACTAAATAAAAATAGACAAATAACAAAAATGAGTTTTGAAGTAAGATTTGGAATACTAAAACAAAAGCCTGTCCCACGGTCCACGCCCGGCAGCTGCAACTAGTGACAGTGAGCATGCAATAGATTAACAGTTAATAATAATACTTTAGGAGATTGTGTATGAATTATGTGTTAATAGTCATATAAAAAATGTGTTAATAATTTAATATTAAACCTAATGTATTTGAAACCTAATATTAAATTATTAACACATTTTTTATGACTATTAACACATAATTCATACACATTCTCCTACTACTATTAGGTTTTCCGTCATGAAACTGATTATATGTTACTTGGTGGTATTTTTTTTTCTTGAAAATATATTTCTAGTTAATGCAAATGATCTAAGTACCAACAAACAAAAAAATGGTATACACTCTCTAACCTCCCACGTGAATAGTAATTTTCTGATCACAAATTGTGGTTCGAACCACGATCATATCATCATGACATGAACTAACCCTCGAGTATTAGTTAACTAAATATAAAATAATTAAGTTGTTGAATTTTTAAGCTTTCCACATCTGATAATTAACTCTACTTCTATGATCAAGCTACCGACTTAAAATGTTCACGTACGTGCTTATAATTTTAAATAACGTAATTGTCAAAGATACAACAAAAGAAATCTAGGACGTTCCATTTAACTTTGAAATAATAGACGCTTTGGTACAAACGTAATAGGGTACTGTATATAATCGAATAGTCCAAAACATATTTGTACTTTTGCATCAAAGAATCCAATATGGTTAAGACTTTAAGACTATAATGTGATCCGTGATTTGTATCCATCCAAATATATAGCATAGTTAAACAGTCTTTTTTTCTTTTCACATTTGTAAGTTTGTAACCGTGTCTTGTCTTGTACCCATTAGACTAAAACACATTACTTTAAAATTTTGGTTATGTCGATACTATAATTAATGACTTAAGTGTTAGGCGAGGCTGGAACCGTACCCTAAAGAAACATGGTTTTTTGCAAAAGATCGATTATTGCTTTTTTTTACTTAGGATCGGTAAATCCAAGGAAATTTTTGCATAGGAAAAAAGAAGAAGAAAAAATGTAAGATATATAGGGAAATGAAAAAGTAGAACGTGAGTAAATTATAAATGACGTCTCAACAACTATAGACTATACATCATGTATAATACATATATAGACAAATAACACTTATCATATGAGCGTTACACTCTTAACTCTCTTTGTCTCTATTCCAATTCAATTCTCTCTCTATGAGTAAAGAGATCCTCCTCGTGAGGCTGCACATATATTTAACGTTCTCATCATCAACATATTTGCTTTAACTACAAAGTTTTTTTCTTTGGTTTCTTAGTGTCAAAGAAGAGCAAAAAAATCAAATGAAGAGTCGTATGTTTTGCGCTTCGCAAGCATCAACAGCCATATGTTCAAGCATGGACCACATTCACAAACCAACCACCACCGTCGAAAACGATGAACGAAGCAGCGGTCGAGCTATCGACCGCCACAATCCCATCATAAAAGATGGTCGGAGATCTTTCGCTGACGAGTACATCAAAATGCCGGCTTCCACCGAAGACGGAGAGATCAGCAACAAAACATTAGAGATCTATAAGGGTAGGAGGAGCATCACTGGCCGGAGAAGCAC